GGTATAACCTAGCTCTATATTGCCTAGTACTGTTAGGAGGCTCCGAGTCTTACAGGCGACCTAGCATGGACGTTTGTTGCGTATTCTTTTTTCTGTTTAGCCTAGAGTTGCGCACCTCTCTGTGTTTATCGTAATACAGTCGGCAGATATAACTCGCTAGGAGTGTTAATCATGTATCCAAAATAGTATTAAAAAAAATTATTATTATTTCACTGTTCCCTGTCTATACCATCTGAATGCGCGTAATCCTTCACCAACTACAAAAACTGCATTTCATAATTCTTTGTAAATCTTTAATAAATCTACGTCATAATGACGTGTCATCTTTTAGATTTGGTATCTTAAATTAAGATTTTGGAAACTGAACAATTAGTAATGGCAAATGTACAAATTCCTTTTAATTAAGTAATGGCTCTGAAAAGAGCCGTTTGGTTTGGGTGTTGGAACTTCTTAAGCACGTTCTCCACGGATTCTCCGAGCCAACTGGATATCCTTCGGCATGATTGTCACACGCTTAGCATGAATAGCACACAAGTTGGTGTCTTCAAATAGACCGACCAGGTAAGCCTCGCTAGCCTCTTGGAGAGCCCCAATTGCTGCGCTCTGAAAGCGCAGATCGGTTTTAAAATCTTGAGCGATTTCACGGACAAGACGCTGGAATGGTAACTTTCGTATAAGAAGCTCAGTGCTCTTCTGGTATCGACGGATCTCACGGAGAGCAACAGTCCCAGGTCTATAACGATGTGGTTTCTTCACACCACCGGTGGATGGTGCGCTCTTACGTGCTGCCTTGGTTGCAAGTTGTTTTCTTGGTGCCTTTCCTCCTGTAGATTTACGAGCAGTTTGCTTAGTACGTGCCATGTCAGTTCTTTATGATGGAAACTATTTGACTGATGCATTTCTGTGCTCAATTCACAGGATTTTATACTGTTTCTCATTCCCACACACCATGCGCTGATTGGTCAAAGATGTGCTTAAAAACACGTCCGCTACCGATACTCATGTAAAACAATGGGAGGCACGCCCAACAAGGTCATGACTCATGTTGTATCCAGATCACCATTTCTCTTTGTTCTTCGATTCAGTTTTTTTTGCCGCCCAAATTCAATAATTCAGACAAATAGGCCTAAAGTACTGTACGCCTAGATATGTGAATTTTTTTTTCGATACCATGTATGTGTCTAAGTCTAAAACAGAGCGAAAAAAACCAAAGTTTTATGCCATTTATTAGTAGGCCAATGTTACTAAACCCGTACTGTTTTACTTAAAAATATCCAGAAGACTATAGCATAAATAGGCAGAATTCGTTAGGTCTACATGGTTAGGTCAAATGATCACAATTTCTAAATCAAAACGAAATCAATAGACTGGAAATATATTTGACATATTTGTATTCTTCCATAAATTTAAAATACATCCAGTTTTCAGTAATTAATGGCACTCATTTAAAAAACAGTGGTACACACCTCTACGACGGTGAGTCCATACATAAAACAATCATGCCCATTATAACAATAACATTAACAAGACCAACAAATTAGAATGAAATAAAAATCTATGAGATTTCTTTCTTTCCCTTATAAAGGGTACAGTATTTGGCAAATCTCTATACTAAGGGATTATTTAGGCTTTATATGTAGCGAATTTGAAAACATCCTTTATTGACCGTAACTTGTGCATCCAATAGAAAATACAACACAAGAAAATTATTTTGATAATTGATAGTAACAAGATAATTGCTATAATATATATTATATTTGACCATTCATTGATAGAACTTGAATCACGAAGTTCTCTTAACATTTGTTGATTTTGTATCCTAAATTTAGCGGATTTAAATAGCTTAGTGTTTAAGATGTTTGCCTTTTAATCTAAAAAATTACTCCATTCCCTAAAGCCTCATAAAAAAAAACTCGCTGAGAAACGCATCACGTTATTTCATCCTTTTATGGAATATGCTAGGAAGATAACCCCCCTCTATGGGATGGCATATGCTAGGAAGATAACCCCTCTATATGTAGTTATTGTTTGTATTGAAAAATATTGTTACAATTTCTATTGCAACTCATAGTGCCAATTAAAGTTAAATTTAATCGAATATGTCATCGTTTTGTTTGCCACATTCAAGAGAAAACTAATACCGGTAGGTGACAGTAGGCTACTGTAATTTTAATTTAGGGACATTTTATTAATTTTGTTACGTTACCTTTATTATCTATACGTGTCTTCGATAAATTTAAACTTATATAACGGAACTACCAAGCGAGCAAAATGCAATGTTTAATTGTTATAAATTGAACTTTGTTATAAGAAAAGTAAGGTTAACAAAGCGTTGCACCAACGTTTGAAAAAAGTAGTTTATTATTACGTATTATTTATGATTCTACAGAAAATATTTTGAACATAAAACTGTTTTGTTACTATAACGTTACTGTTATTTGGAACTTAATATATATGTGGAGACTGCTTTCAAATTCATCAATATACTTAACCTCGAAAAGACTACCTCTTTATACAATTAGTAACGGTTTTACTTCTTATTAGAGACGGTTACAGTTTCTATACGGTATTCACACAATGTAGCAGAAAAAAAAAAAACGCCCATCATTTGATTTTCTCTGAAATCTAATCAACATTATAATAATTTGGAGATTTCACAGCCTTACGAAAACTATAGCAAACACACACGAATACTTCATCTTCATTATCTTCATGACTAAGACATAATTGAAAATACACACTCGGGCTAAATAATGATCACCGATTCATGTAAAAGTCTATGTTGTGAGCGATATACAGGTACTACTGTATGGAATGAATGGACTACACTTTCGATGACGTAACAGGATTCGCGCTATCGTTTTCATAAGCTTGCGAACCTCCCTAATGTCATTTTTTATCAACTAAATTTGACACAGGTAATCTGTCATAAGTGGTTTCGGGAAACGTTTGTCTTCAATCTTGCAGATTTGTTTTTATTAAGGATTAGGCCTACTATCCAATGAAGGACGGTTGTCTGGTTCTGGTTACCTTTACATTCCAGTTGTTGCCTATAAATTGTATACGTATCTCTTCCGAGACAAAGATATTGTTTTCCACAACATCTTTGATACAAGTATTTTTCCTTTTATATATTTACCGCATAAAGTTATAGATTATTTCTTCATGTAGGCTTAGCATGATTTATTTTAAAAAGGTTTTCTCAATAAAAAAAAAAAACGCCAAGTTAGATTTCAAAGATATGTCATAGACCTACTTCTAATTACCGTATGTTTATAAGTCGCAAATGAAGGTGTTATGTCCTTTCTGTTGTCCTTTCTGCTCTCCGAATTAAAGAACAAAAATAGCAAATATGGCGCGCCGTAAGCGTACTAATCTGGGACTGTCGATATATAACATTAATTATGTAAAATATATCTATTGAAAGATAAGCACATCAGTTTTAAGCAAAGCCATTCTTCAGTTGAATATTGTATACACTGTACTATATTAAGAAATAATGTTCTTACACTTTATTATAAATGGTCCGAATGTCTATAACGTTCTGATTATTTTTCTGCTTCCTGTGCAATAGCGCCACCAGTTTCGTGGCACTGAAAGAAAGAAATATGAAAACTCCTTGCATACTATTCATAATAACGAATATGTACCACAGAAATCTTTCATCAATGAATGAAGCGACGCATCCAATTGTCCAAGTCAATCCCATAATACACGATATCTAAAACAAGAAAGAAAAAAAAAAAAAGAAAAAAAAAATATGTAGGCCTAGATAATGTTACTTGCATGTGAAATGTACATTTACTCTTATTATGCCTATATGGTCAAACTATGGTCAAAGATTGTAGTACAAACATGCTGTTGATGTTATTTTTAAATATTCTTGCAGCACGTAATTTGAATGTATGTATATTTATTTATTGATTTACTTATAATGTAAACAGTTTTATTTGTAGTTAAAATTATACAAAAAATACTGTTCTCCTTCTAATTAAAGACCCTGCTCCCATTTAAATACTTTTTTCCCAATTAATGACAACTTTTCTTTGGTTCTATATTAACAAATATCTTTATTTTTATTATTTTAACTACACAGCAAAAAGCTGTTAAGACCATAGAAACTCCGGTTCAAAGTAGTCTTTAATTGGAGGGAGACATGTATTTTATTATGTATTTACCTTTGCATAAATCACGAGATTGTTTATGATGTCTTTCTTCTTGGAACTCCCTCGAATCTTCCTCGAGTTTTCTTTTGATCGATGAATTCCGCAAACTATGACGACAAATAGAAAACTGTTTACCCCCATAATCGTTGCCATTGGAACACCGAAGACTATCAAAGCGGCAAATTCATCGCGTATCCAGCAGACTGTGTCGTCACCGTATGTAAACTTGAAGGGTACACAATCACAGAAGTGAATAATCAACAGTATAGCGACGAACGCGAGAGGAATTCCCCAACTAAAATACAAATAGAGATTGATCGACTGATTTTCATACCGACTTTTTAAAGATGCTTTAAAGGAACGGAAAGATTTAAAGAGAGTTAATGACATCACAAACATACACATAAACGCCACCAGCCACAGATAATGCATGACTGCAGCAATGATGGCACACGCATGCTCAAATTGCACGAAAGCGCCTGTAAATAGAGTTCCAAACTGCGCAAAGAAAAGTGAAATTGCGATATTCATCACAATCTTTCCCGAATTTGTGCGTAAAGTAGTAGGCCTACTGACGCAACTAGTAAGGCATGTCAGGAACAAACCAAGTAGCGAACACGACACACCGACTAGGTTAATAAGTTGGAGAGTCTCTTCGTAAACAAACAACTTTGACGAAGTTTGTCTTGTTCCATTTGGTAAGAAAAAAGTACAGACAGTGATGGTTTCGTTACTGAATATAATTTTGTCATTTGTGAACTGGTGACCGGTAGGTTGGTAGATCCACGTGTTGTTACTTGTGAAATCAAACTCTTTGGCATCTAAAACGATAAGTGGGCAGGTGGGGTCACGTGGGCGTTCTGATGAACAGTTTGTTATCATCAACGTACTGAACATCATTGAGTCATTTTCAACATTAAACGTCATCTCTACTCGATAGCTCGTTTCTTCTAAAGTAAAATAATCGTGTCCGTCGGTTACTGTTGTTGTTTGATCTCCTTTTGTTATATTTAACTTAGTGAAGTCAAATGATTGTGAAATACAACTTTGTTCAGTTGGTGACGTGATGTTCAGGTTTTCATTCAAACAAACCTGTGTTATTAAAACGTTTTCTAACAAAACTTTTTCACTGTTGAACTGTTGAAATGCTATAGTGAAAACTCCTTGTACTAGCTGGCATTCTGAAGTCTTAAAACTAATTGTTGCAGTCGATGTATCATGTTGTTTAAACTTGAACGATGTATTATACCCTTTTAATAATGATGTTATCTGAGATAAAGTAACATTTGCTGTCGATGTATTATTAACGTTATACCGTACTTGTACATTACTGTACCCTCTGCATATGCAGACAAGCTCACCGATTTTAGTAGATGGGGATTTTATTGGTGTTTTCTTCAGATTTCCTAATTCATAGATGCATCCATGCTCTGTAAGGATTTTACCATGTTCGCAAATTGTCTTGATACATACTTCCTTAAAGGGGTTGTATACCCGACCCGATCCGCAGTTAAACCCATCAGTGGTGACCTTTTTTGAAGGAGTTTCAACACTAAGACTACCCGAAGTGAAATCCACTAAAATAGTGATGGGCACAGTTACCACTATATCAATTAATTCACTGTCTTCATCCGCCCCAGCGGCGGCAAGGCCGGGATCTTTGAATGGTGTCCAATATTGCGTGTCACTTAATTTGCAAGTGTAATCTACTTCCCCGTGACATCGAGCGCAATGCGGGTTTGCGTAACTTGCGCTACCCGCATGCACAGTAGCTTTGTACCTTTTGCAGTTGTTTGCCACCTTTTTATCTGGAAAATCTATAGGGCAATAATTAATTCCATGCTCATAAGAGCAATACCTCTTACTATTTCCTCCTATAGGTTTGTACTGCAAATTACAATCTTCCGTAAGATATATTTTAGAAAGGATGGTTTCGAGGTTGTTTTGTATTAAAGATTGATCTGATGATGTAAAAACAGCCGCCAAGTAGTCATCATTAATTTGTCTGCATTTAGCCATTACTTTCCATCCTTCGACATTCGTTATGGAAACGCCATTACAAAGAGCACAGAACAAATTCGAATAAGCTAGATTTGAAGAATCACTTACTGGAATGTTTAGAAGAAAATCATCTGGATTTGGTTCCTCGCAGCTTGATCGAATATGTTCATTAACTGTTACTGACCTACATTTCGATATTAAATAGAATTGTTCAAATTCGGATTTCATACAAACAGTACGTTCCCATAACGCAAGAGAAGAATTCAAAACTCTGCTATTGGTGCAACTACTCCAGTAATCGTAACAACAGTCTCCATAAAGCTCGCATTTCGGGTCGCAGTGGCACATAGAGTTTCGTGTAAGAAACAGTCCACATCTTCCATGGCAAGTTTGATGATGTGTACATACGTCTATATCATCGAATTCGTTTTCTGTTACATGGGTATCGTTCCCATTTGTATCTTTAAAGAAGAAAGAACATAATTATATGTAAGATACAGTAAAACCATTATTGTATACACCAGGGTCATTATCACAATTTTATTTATTTATTATAGTAAATTCAGTGTAGTGAAAGCAAGAGATTACGTTGAATTATCACCGGGTGTATTTTTAAGCCAATGGAAAGGAACCTGTTATTGATAGGCCATGCCCATTGCAATCCTTATACTATAGTTCCTTTATTCTAGCACTGTTTATACCACTTTTGTATATTAAGCGTTGACAAAATCTACAGTAGTCGAAATACTTGTTGCAATAAATTTTAGTGTTTTTAAAGAAAGTCAAGAGTTTACGTATATGAGTATTTATGAACGTTATATAATACATCATATAATATAGATAGCCGTTAACACTGTTAAATTATATATAAACCATTGAAGAAAGGTAAATACAGTGTTTGAATTATAAAGGGGATAAATACATCGTGTTTAGGACAACATTCGTTGAGAACTATGCTACACGATGTATTTATGTCCTTTAAATTATCCGAACACTGTATTTACCTTTCTTTGATTACACATCTAGATGTGTATAAGAGACAGCTGTACTATATTAAGAAATAATGTTCTTACACTTTATTATAAATGGTCCGAATGTCTATAACGTTCTGATTATTTTTCTGCTTCCTGTGCAATAGCGCCACCAGTTTCGTGGCACTGAAAGAAAGAAATATGAAAACTCCTTGCATACTATTCATAATAACGAATATGTACCACAGAAATCTTTCATCAATGAATGAAGCGACGCATCCAATTGTCCAAGTCAATCCCATAATACACGATATCTAAAACAAGAAAGAAAAAAAAAAAAGAAAAAAAAAAAAAAAAACTTGTGTTAAAAAAGATCTAGGGTCAGTTTTGTTTTTGGCTAATTTTTTAAACTAGAGGAGTCCAAAATGCCATTCTTGTCCAAGGAATTTAGGTGTGTGTTTACAATTTGTGACCCAAGCTCACAAACGGGCTGTAAACTCGCACTGCACTGTATTGAGA